ACTTCTAGTCTATTGTAATGTTAAAGTCCACGTATTTCCTACTTTGACACACAAATCTAGAATACATTATATGATTAACTCAAATGTTGTTTACAAACCTACAAATTTTCTTACTACGTTGAAGAAACTGAAAAGAAAGTTATGAAAATCTCAAAAATATTAAATATCATTTCATTAAATTAAAAAAATATCAAATACATATCTCTTTTACATTGATATTTTTCTCTTAAAATTAATAAAATGATCTTCAGTTCTCAATAGTAGGGAGATGGATCAAATCCCTCTTATCCTAAGTATAAACAACAAAAAGCACATGTTTATTAGTGTTAAATATAAGCATATCTAAACTAAATTTATTCTATTTAATGCTACATATTACATGTGATCTTTGTTATTCTTAATATTAAGTTTCAACATTTAACAAAACGTTTTTTTGGGTCTTAAAGGTATTTACTTGTGATAATCTGATTCGTAGCATAGTGGGTGAAGGTCAATGACAAATTTACTGTGCGAAAGGGTAAATGTTAGAGGATTTTGAAAGTCAATGTCTGTTTCATTATGTAATTGGGTTGACCCTTGTATCTGCATCTACTATACTTTCTTTTGCTGATTAAAAAAAAAAACTAAGAAAGGGTTGTTCAAGAAATTATGTTATTTTAAAATAAAATTTGTGTAATTAAATGATATTAATTTACTTATTTAATTAATATAAGTTCTTTTTTTTTACTTGTATTCAAAACTAGAACAAACCTAGAAAGAGAAATTTATATGATTACCATGGAATGCGTAAATATGTAAACCATACTCTCTTTTTCTTCTTAAGACATGTAATTCTATTGTTAATTATTTAATAGTTTAAGAGTTTTATTTTATTTTTTTATTAATAGAAATAGAACAAAGCATAATGGGGAGAGTAAGCAAAAACCCATAACAAACTAATAAAATCTAAAGAATGGTAAATAATGTGACACCCTCTACCCCAACATAATTACAATAGATATAAACCATCTATATATAAATTCTTTCTTAGTCTAATATAAAATAATTATCTCAAGTATCATTGGTTAAAAGATGCACATTCATAATTTTCAACTATAAGTATCAAATTGTCAAGAAATAATAAAATAAAGATTATAGATTAATCCCAGTAAAGGTGGCAGAGCCTCCTAGTTAGGAATTAACTTATAATCTTTTAGTAAAATTATAATATGACAAAAATACACACTTTCAACATAAATAACATAAAAATTACAAAAGAAAAATAATAATAATTTAACAATAAGTCTAGCTAATCCCGATGTCACATCCTATCAGAGCGAAACCCAAACAGAAGCCTAAGCTTCACCACCAACATCCTCAGCCTCATGCTAATTATCTGCATCATAATTTAAATATACACAAAAATGACAAGGGAGTGAGAAACTTCTCACTCAGTTGCAGATATAGAAATAAAAGTTAAATAGCACACACACACGCAATATAATTCACATATATAATCAATCTCACATATATGCTTATGTATAATGATTTTCTTGACTTGACTCACTAATGTATGCATGTGGCGCCATACGGAAGTTGCAGAATTCATCACTGGTGACCCGAAGGCACACCTATACAATTGTCGGTGACCCTAAGGTACACCTATCATTGGTGTTCATACACCTCGTTAGCATATCGTGGGTGACCCAAAGGTACACCTTGTTAGTCGTGGGTATGCGGCCTCAGCGGCACACCTGGAGTAATATGTGCATATGATGCATGTCATACATTCACAGACTCAACCTTTAGCATGTTACACATATCATATTCATATTTCATAATTAAGAATTATTTCAATAATCCAATTTAATAGTCCAATAGTCCAACAGTCCAAACAGTCCAACAGTCCAAACAGTCCAA